TGGACTATAGTCTAGTCTACAGTCAGGACTATAGTCTAGTCTATAGTCTGGACTATAGTCTAGTCTATAGTCTGGACTACAGTCTAGTCTATAGTCTGGACTATAGTCTAGTCTATAGTCCTGACTATAGTCCAGTCTATAATCTGGACTATAGTCTAGTCTATAGTCTGAACTATAGTCTAGTCTATAGTCTGGACTATGGTCTAGTCTATAGTCTGGACTATAGTCTAGTCTATAGTCTGGACTATAGTCTACTCTATAGTCTGGACTATAGTCTAGTCTATAGTCTGGACTATAGTCTAGTCTGTAGTCTAGTCTATAGTCTGGACTATAGTCTAGTCTATAGTCTGGACCATAGTCTAGTCTATAGTCTGGACCATAGTCTAGTCTATAATCTGGACTATAGTATAGTCTAAAGTCTGGACTATAGTTTAGTCTATAGTCTGGACTATAGTCTAGTCTATAGTCTGGACTATAGTCTAGTCTATAGTCTGGACCATAGTCTAGTCTATAGTCTGGACCATAGTCTAGTGTATAGTCTGGACCATAGTCTAGTCTATAATCTGGACTATAGTATAGTCTAAAGTCTGGACTATAGTTTAGTCTATAGTCTGGACTATAGTCTAGTCTATAGTCTGGACTATAGTCTGGCCTATAGTCTGGACTGTAGTCTGGTCTATAATCTGGACTGTAGTCTGGTCTATAGTCTGGACTGTAGTCTGGTCTATAGTCTGGACTGTAGTCTGGTCCATAGTCTGGACTGTAGTCTGGTCTATAGTCTGGACTATAGTCTAGTCATAGTCTGGACTATAGTCTGGACTATAATCTAGTCTATAGTCTGGACTATAGTCTAGTCTATAGTCAGGACTATAGTCTAGTCTATAGTCTGGACTATAGTCTAGTCTGGACTATAGTCTAGCCTGGACTATAGTGTGGACTATGTATAGTGTAGTCTGTAGTTTGGACTATTGTCTAGTCTATAGTCTGTCCAGATTATAGTCCAGTCTATAGTTTGAGCTCTTTCCTATTGTTTAATTTGGTCGTGGTGTTCGTTCCGAACTGCAGGGAAGTCTTTTGGTATTTACTAGTTTATAGTTTTCTGTACTTAACACTGTAAGTAAACTGAAGTGATGTTTTTTTTCTTCTTGTGCTAAAGGCTGCATTGTAGTTTCGATGTGATGATGGAATGTTCATTTAACTGCAAGTACCACATTATTGACTTAAGAATGTGGTTCGCATTGTAAACTGTTTACGCTGCCTGTTCCCTCAACACACACACACATATATACTCGCACTTTACTTACTTGCCATGCAGTAGACATGTTTATTTTGTTGTTTAGTTTTTTTTATAAAATTTGAAAAAGAAAAAAAATCCTCTAACAACAAAATATTTTTATATAATTTACAGAAATGGTATTAAATAAAACTAGAAAAATAACAATAAATCGATTTGATAGAAAGAAAATTACTACAAAAGCAAAAAAAAAGTAGTAGGAAAAATACTTTTTCCGCTTAAACGTTATAATTTTCTGTTTATAACGTTTCATTTTAAACATTTATTAAAAAAAGCTCTTGGAATCGTTGGTTTGTTTAAACTTTAATTTTTAATTATCCAGCTAATGAGCTTTTGAGTTATTTATTTGTTTTTTTTTCTTCAGTTTTTGCCTGCCTCTCTTAATACGGCCTACTAATTAAATGTTTCTAAGCAATTAATTAAATAACAACAAAACTAGTAGTATGCAATACAACAACAACAACATTTCAAACTTCAAAATACTGGTCAAGGTGTACTTTCTCCATGACTTAGTTACCACACACTTGTAACAGAAATAATATTAATATTTGATTTAAAAATTTTGCTCACAAAGTAGAGAAAATGTTTTAAGAGTTTTAAAACAGAAAATTTTAAAAGTCTAAATATAAAGTAAACTAAAGCTCATATTCAGAGGTAATGCTAGAAGTAATAGCTACCCATTACTTATGCATTATTCCAGTTAATCTGCTTCGCCACTTGTAATGCTTAAATTAGTTACTACTTACTTAATACTCATTCATTATTCTAGTCTTTTATAGTTTGATAACAAATCTTTTATAAATATTTATTAAAATGACAAAGATTTTATTTCAATCTTAATTAGTATTCTTTAGAATGCTAAATTTTATAAACAAAAAGAAAAAACTACTGCTAATTTTTATATCATTGTCTCTGTCAAACAAAAGACAATAAATTTAATTATTTATATAAATTTTTTGCATACTTTTTATTCAGTTATTTAAAAAAATTCTACTTTACTTTTCTCAGTGACCTACTACCATTTAAAATACTTCGTAAAATTGTTCATTATGATGACTTCGTATTGTTGTAATGAAATTTTTATTTAAAAAATATATTGCTGCTGGCTTTAATACTTTTTCATCATATTGTTTAACAAAATAAATAAATAATAAAAAAAACATTCTTGTTTATTAAACAATAAATAAACAAAGAAATGTTATAAATTTCTCTTGCCCGTGTTTTTTGACCAATATATTAAGCGTGTTGTTCTCATTTTAGCTATTGTATTTGTTAAATATTATTGCTGTGTGCTAATATAGCTCAACTCTCTGCTATGCTACTTTAAAAATTTTCAACAAATAAAAGTGTGAGCAATGTAAAAAAGTTCTTTATGCTTGAAATTTAAACAATAAATTCTTTATATGCAGGTTTGTATGAGTTATCGGTAGAGGTTTTGCAGTAACAAAACTTTTTTAAGACCCTGGGATTTTGTAAATTTCTTTAAGAATTCCGACCAATTTTTATAACATTTTAACAATTAAAGAATCTGGGCATCTATTATAAATACTCTAGTCTATATTCTTTAGCTTTGCCGAGAGTGTCGAATATAATCTAATCTAGAGCCTTAACTATAGTCATAAATCTAGTCAATAGTCTGCTCTATAGCCTGGCCTATAGTCTGACCTATAGTCTGGTCTATAGTCTGGTCTATAGTCTAGTCTATAGTCTAGTCTATAGTCTAGTCTATAGTCTGGTCTATAGTCTAGTCTATAGTCTGGTCTATAGTCTAGTCTATAGTCTAGTCTATAGTCTAGTCTATAGTCTAGTCTATAGTCTAGTCTATAGTCTGGTCTATAGTCTGGTCTATAATCTAGTCTATAGTTTAGTCTATAGTCTAGTCTATAGTCTAGTCTATAGTCTAGTCTATAGTCTAGTCTATAGTCTAGTCTATAGTCTGGTCTATAGTCTAATCTATAGTCTAGTCTATAGTCTAGTCTATAGTCTAATCTATAGTCTTGTCTATAGTCTTGTCTATAGTCTTGTCTATAGTCTAGTCTATAGTCTAGTCTATAGTCTAGTCTATAGTCTAGTATATAGTCTAGTCTATAGTCCAGTCTATAGTCCAGTCTATAGTCTAGTCTATAGTCTAGTCTATAGTCTAGTCTATAGTCTAGTCTATAGTCTAGTCTATAGTCTAGTCTATAGTCTAGTCTATAGTCTAGTCTATAGTCTAGTCTATAGTCTAGTCTATAGTCTAGTCTATAGTCTAGTCTATAGTCTAGTCTATAGTCTAGTCTATAGTCTAGTCTATAGTCTAGTCTATAGTCTAGTCTATAGTCTAGTCTATAGTCTAGTCTATAGTCTAGTCTATAGTCTAGTCTATAGTCTAGTCTATAGTCTAGTCTATAGTCTAGTCTATAGTCTAGTCTATAGTCTAGTCTATAGTCTAGTCTATAGTCTAGTCTATAGTCTAGTCTATAGTCTAGTCTATAGTCTAGTCTATAGTCTAGTCTATAGTCTAGTCTATAGTCTAGTCTATAGTCTAGTCTATAGTCTAGTCTATAGTCTAGTCTATAGTCTAGTCTATAGTCTAGTCTATAGTCTAGTCTATAGTCTAGTCTATAGTCTAGTCTATAGTCTAGTCTATAGTCTAGTCTAGTCTAGTCTAGTATAGTCTAGTCTATAGTCTAGTCTAGTCTATAGTCTAGTCTATAGTCTAGTCTATAGTCTAGCCTATAGTCCAGTCTATAGTCTAGTCTATAGTCTTGCTTATAGTTTAGTCTAGTCTATAGTCTAGTCTATAGTCTAGTCTAAAGTCTAGTCCATAGTCTAGTCTATAGTCTAGTCTATAGTCTAGTCTATAGTCTAGTCTATAGTCTAGTCTATAGTTTAGTCTATAGTCTAGTCTATAGTCTAGTCTATAGTCTAGTCTATAGTCTAGTCTATAGTCTAGTCTATAGTCTAGTCTATAGTCTAGTCTATAGTCTAGTCTATATTCTAGTCTAGTTGAGCCTGAGCTTCAGGTTAGTTTGTGGTCTGGGCTATAGCGTAGTCTAGTCTCTTGACTGTTTTCGAGTCACGACTCTATTCTCGTCTTTGGTTTACCCGATTTAAAACCCCTAATTATCTGTTGTTGTTTTTAATTCTTTGTGTTTGACTAATGAAGAAACATCTTTTCATACTGTTGATGTTTTAGCAGTGTTTTGTTAAACATTCATAAAAAGAACAGCGGTGGGCACATAAAGAACTTGTATAGTTAGTAAAAGGAGAAAAAATACTGACATTTACCCAAAAAAAATTACATATTATGGTTGTGGGAAGGCTGTGATTCGTTAATATATGTTTTGATCTGCACTTAATGGTTAGCAGTGCCCATCACTGCCTTTTAAATAATCTCTTAATGAAGCGCTTTATGTTTTAAGTATTGAAATTTTGTATTGTTTTGTATTTTAAAACATCTTTGTGGTGTGTTTTTTGTTTGTCTCTTTTTTGTTTTTAAAAACTTTTTCTTTTACTGTTTCTGTTTCTTTATATTCTGCTAAATTGTTGCTTAATTATTTGTATAGCCTTAAGTTAAGTTATTAGCCATTTATTAATATTCTATACAAACTATGACTAACTAGCATGGGTTTGGTTATGCATACATTTTGAAATTTTAAGAAAAAGTGAATTTTTAAATATGTTATTTAAATAATAGAAAAATAAAAATATGTATTTTACTTACTATTTAAAACATACATAGGTTGTGCAATAAGTTTTGGCTAATTACCTGTAAAGAAAAAAGGAAATTTTTTAATAAATTTTAAAACATTTCAGTCTTGTCTTCAGTTAAGGGTCTCGACTATAGTCTATAATCTGGTCTATGTTTTTACTGCCGATGACTCATAAGCACAAGTGCTTTTCCTAAATAAATCATTACTTATAAATAAAATCAATTGTTTAGCCAAATGATTCCTTTGGAAAAATTCTGTCTCAAGTAATATTATCTGAAAAAAAAACTCTCATTAAAGCATGACCAAATGCCTCACAATTAAATGGTGATTGTAGAAACTCTAGGAAAAAATTTTCCAAGCGTTGATGTTTAAATGCATCTCTTTTTTTGCACAATTTCCAAGATTTTTTTGCAATTTAATTGAAAAAATAAAGAAGAATATCTTTTTCAATTACTTAGGAAAAAGAAAGAGAAAAACTAGAAAATCATTTATATAATTTTAATAATTTACAGCTGCATTTTGTGCTAAAGCTGGGTAAATCAAAACAACAATATAAACTTCCTATAAAAATCGCAAAGCATCAACATCATCTAAATGAAGATGATAATGAAGTTTCATTAAGCAACTCTAGAGAAAAGATTATCAATAGAGTAATATGAGCAAATATACAATTTGATCATATATTTAAACATCATCATCATCATTATCATCAACATCATCAGTTAAGCTCGATTAACAAGTGTTTTATTTATTTTATATTTCAGCCTCAAGTTGCGATTTATTTATTTCATTTCTATATTAATTTTTTATTTTATCTCCAGAGATCGTATGTTCTTTGGAATTGTATAAATTTCTTTGTGTTTTCTTCATTATTATATGAAAAAATTTGAATCACTGTTATTGTTGGTTACTTGAGTTGTTTTTTCTTTTTGCTTAAATATTTTTTAAAAGTGCGTGTTCTAAATGCATTTTATAGATCATCTTTTTTTTTAATACTTGAATGAAGGCATGAAAAAAAAACAGCAGAATATTATGAAAAAATATTGTTATTTTCAATTTATTTAATTGGATTTCAAAAGAAATACATCTCAAGGAGATGTCTGATATAATCATAAATGTAGCCAAATATGAGCGAAACAAACAAATGTTTTAAAATCACAAGAAAATTTCATCATATATTAGAAGATTTTATCAAATAATAAACAAAATTTCTAATTAATTTCTATATTGAAATCGCTAAAAAAAGAGTCTGAACTATAGTCTGCACTATATACATATAGTCTATGGTCTGGATTATAGTTTAAACAGTTGTCCGGACTAAAGTCTGAACTATACATGATCTGAACTATAGTCTCAACTAAAGTCTAGTCGGTAAAAAAGAGTCTGAACTATATACATATAGTCTATGGTCTGGATTATAGTTTAAACAGTTGTCCGGACTAAAGTCTGAACTATACATGATCTGAACTAGAGTCTCAACTAAAGTCTAGTCTATAGTCTAGTCTATAGTCTAGTCTATAGTCTAGTCTATAGTCTAGTCGATAGTCTAGTCTATAGTCTAGTCTAGACTATAGACTAGAAAATAGACTAGACTATAGACTAGACTATAGACTAGACTATAGACTAGACTTAGACTAGACTTAGACTTAGACTAGACTATAGACTAGACTTTTGGTTAGACCATAGACTAGACTATAGACTAGACTATAGACTAGACTATAGACTAGACTATAGACTAGACTATAGACTAGACTATAGACTAGACTAGACTATAGACTAGACTAGTCTAGTCTATAGTCTAGTCTATTGTCTATTCTACAGTTCAGTCTATAGTCAATTTTACAGTCTAGTCTATATTATATTCTATAGTCTAGTCTATAGTCAATTCTATAGTCTAGTCTATTCTATAGTCTAGTCTATATTTTGTAATTCAGTCTAAAGTCTAATCTATAGTTTAGTCTGTAGTGTAGTCTAGTCTATGGTCAAGTCAATAGTCTAGTTTATAGGTTTGTCTATAGTATATTCTCGATGACCAAAATTAAATTAATTATCTAGCAAAATACGTCAATCATTAAACTCGCCACAGTTCCATGTAAGTCATGCATATTTTTAAAGCACACTTTTAAAAAAACATTTATATGTATCTCTAATGATCTTCTTACATAAAGATTTGAATTGAAATTCATACATTGTTGCAATCTCAAAGCAATTAATTAAATTTAATTAATTGTATAAAATAGTAAAATGTAGATTTTTTTTAATAAAAAGCCAGTTAGTATTACCAAGTACTTAGATATAAACAAAAAAAGAACTTTATATTAAGCAAAAACTTCTAATACCCAGATCAGTGTTACAGTTTCATTTCTCAACTTTTGCAACAATGTGAAAGTCAAAAAACAAATGCCGCCAAAAGTATTAATATCTTCACTCCTAAGACGTCTCTTCGTCACACGGTATCATCATTCACATTCATTCACATGTTGATCATGGCGCGTCCTCATCATCATTATTCAGTTGGCCCGTCTATATGCATCAGTGTCATCATGATCAGTGGTGCACTGTTTCAAACTGCTGCCATACAGTTTGGCTAGACGACAAGCGTTTATCTTAAGAATGTAAATATGTATCTTTTTTTATGTAGAAAATGAACATGTCTTCTTCCTTTTTACACAATAGATATGTACGGGGCTTTGTATAACATTCATTATCTCTGTATTTAGTTTATTTTACTCTAGTCTATTTAATAAAGCATATTAGCTTTGTGAAAGAAAACAGATCGTTTTTTTTTTCAACATTTTAACTGTTAATTTCTGTTTTAAACAAAAAAAAAAAAAAAAAACTATATAATGAAAAAGATCGGAAAAATCTTATTAAAACAAGTTGTTTGTTACAGATTTTTCTTAAAGAAGTGATGGCAAATGATCTTTAAGTAGGAAAAGAGAGTTGGTTGTTTTTGTTTTGTTTGATTTGGCATTAGTAGCGGATTTTTGTTTAACTTGCCACTATCATGTTATGATAACACTTCTTGGCATTATGATCTTGGCAGTTGTTAGAAAGAATGAAAACTTAAATAAAACTTTTTTTAGGAAAACAAAGGACAAAAGTGCAATTTTATTAGAAATTTACTATAAAGAGAAAATTTCTAAGAAAATAAAATTTTACGAAAATTTTCCAAAAAATATACAATTTTACGAAAATTTCTATCAAAATAAAATTTTACGAAAATTTTCTATAAAAAAAATTACGAAAATTTTCTATAACAACTAACAAATATTTAAAAAAAAATTATTAAAAATAAAATTTTATGAAAATTTTTTATAAAAAATAAAATTTACGAAATTCTCTATAAAAAAAAAAAATTAATGGACAGTTTTCTATAAAAAGCTAATTTATGGAAAATTTTCTATGAAAAGCAAATTAGGAGAATTTTCCAGTCTATAGTCTAGTCTATAGTATATTCTATAGTATAGTGTATAGTCTAGTCTATAGTCTAGGTCTATAGTCTAGTCCTATAGGTCTAGTCTATAGTCTAGTCCTATAGTGCTAGTCTATAGGTCTATAGTCCATAGTCTATAGTCTAGTAGTCTAGTCTATAGGTCTAGTCTATAGTCTAGTCATAGTCTAGTCTATAGTCTAGGTCTATAGTCTAGTCTATAGTCTAGTCTATAGTCTAGTCATAGCTAGTCTATAGTCTAGTCTATAGTCTAGTCTATAGTCTAGTCTATAGTCTAGTCTATAGTCTTAGTCTATAGTCTAGTCTATAGTCTAGTCTATAGTCTAGTCTAAGTCTAGTCTATAGTCTAGTCTATAGTCCAGTCTATAGACTAGAAAATTTTCTATAAAAAAAATTTACGAAAATTTTCTATGACAACTAACAAATATTTAAAAAAAATTTTTATAAAATAAAATTTTATGAACATTTTTATAAAAATAAAATTTTACGAAAATTCTTTATAAAAAAAAAAATTAATGGACATTTTCTATAAAAAGCTAATTTATGGAAAATTTTCTATGAAAGCAAATTTAAGGAGAATTTCCATCTATAGTCCAGTCTATAGATATTCTATAGTCTAGTCTATAGTCTAGTCTATAGTCTAGTCTATAGTCTAGTCTATAGTCTAGTCTATAGTCTAGTCTATAGTCTAGTCTATAGTCTAGTCTATAGTCTAGTCTATAGTCTAGTCTATAGTCTAGTCTATAGTCTAGTCTATAGTCTAGTCTATAGTCTAGTCTATAGTCTAGTCTATAGTCTAGTCTATAGTCTAGTCTATAGTTTAGTCTATAGTCTAGTCTATAGTCTAGTCTATAGTCTAGTCTATAGTCTAGTCTATAGTTTAGTCTATAGTCTAGTCTATAGTCTAGTCTATAGTCTAGTCTATAGTCTAGTCTATAGTCTAGTCTATAGTCTAGTCTATAGTCTAGTCTATAGTCTAGTCTATAGTCTAGTCTATAGTCTAGTCTATAGTCTAGTCTATAGTCTAGTCTATAGTCTAGTCTAGTCTATAGTCTAGTCTAGTCTATAGTCTAGTCTAGTCTATAGTCTAGTCTAGTCTATAGTCTAGTCTATAGTCTAGTCTATAGTGTAGTATATAGTCTAGTCTATTGTCTAATCTATACTTTAGTTTATTGTCTAGTCTATAGTCTAGTCTAGCCTATAATCTTCAAACTTAAAATTTTTCGAAATTGTTATTTAGAGAAAATTGAATTAATAGTCTAACAGCTCTGTTTCTCACAGTAAAGTTGATTTCTTACGAAAATAACGAAGAAGTGTTTGATGTATCTTTAGTATGTTAGAGAGAGGAAAAACACCTGTTGCTCGACACACTGTCATTTTGGCTAAGAATCTTTTAGCTTTAAGACAAGACAAGACAACAACAACAAAAACTTTAGTGTTTTTTTGTTGTACACCAGTAGCTTTAGACTTAACACCCTCTTGGGGTACATGTTGCAAGCAATGTTTTTTGTTATGATTCTGTTACACTTTTGCCACAATGCTGCTGAAGAGAAGGCCTGGTTTGTTTTTGTTACTT